CTACAAGGGACAGCTTATTTTAAAATATGGTTTTTCTTTTCAAAAAAACCAAAACATCTTTGTGAGCCACTTGAACACTACGAAAAAAAAAGAAATTTTTCATGTATCAAAAAATGATTTCCTTCATAGTGTGAAAGGTGGTTCACGTAGATGTTTTGGTTTTTTTGAAAAGAAAAACCATATTTTAAGATAAGCTGTACTTTGTAGATTGTAGAGCTTTTCACGCTGCATCTTGTGATATATTCGGTTTTTTAATAAAATATCTTTAGGAGTTAAACTCTGAAATATAAAGTTCTGCCATCTATTGTAGGTCTTTTTACTACTTAATGCCACCAGCCAGCTTCCAACAAAAACAGTTCTTACCAAGATTTTTTTATTCTAATATTGGGCGAAGATCGATCAAATAGCATAGAAAGATAGAGTGAAAGACGCTCTATCTATTCATAAAAAAAGAAAATTTTTTTCATTTACTATAAGGAAATAAAACCTTGACGACACTACTTTTGGATTGCCCTAAGTAGTTCTCATTTGATTGGTGTGGGATCTGTTGAAAAGAAAATTTCTAATACTTAATAATTATTCAGACTATTCTAAGAGAACAAGTGAAAATTTAACAGAAAAACAAATCTATTTTATTTGCGTTTCTTGAAATTTGTTAAGCTTTTCATCTGGATGACAACTAAATCGAATGAAAACTTCAAAATTAAATAGAACAATCGATGATCTACCAAATTATATAGAAAAATAAAGCATTTTTGATTTTGTTGTGTAGAAATACATTAATCTCAATAAAAAGCTACACTAAAACTAAGTGAATCATTCTTTACTCATCGCTTGATCCCTTTGATCATCTATGTTTTGTCTTTTTAGATTCATCGCGTTGCCATCGCATCTAATATAATGTAGGTAAGCCCATCTTTGTAATTTTATCTAATCTTCTATTTTAGCTTCGAAACGTTAAAAGGGGAGTTTCCGTTACGGGAGAATAGAGGGTTATTCATATAGGATATCTTATTAGGTCTTTTTGGATTGACCATGTAATCACCAACTAGGAACGTTGTCAGATAGTTCGAGATCGCACGCGCGTGAATACAATAGAAAACGAGGATGTAAAGCAATCGAATCGTATTTATTGAGAAGCAAAGAAAAAATAGCATTCGCATAATGTTTTAAGCATTTGAGACAATGTTAAATTTTTGTACTCGATGATTATACTGATCGACGACATAGAGATTACCGTGTCGATCGAATGACAAACCGTGGGGCCAATCCAGTTGATTCGATTCTCCTCCTCGACCGTTTCCACCAACAATGACATTGCCTTGTGTAGCTCCTTTTGGCCAACGCATGATCCGATCATTTCCTGAATCAACCACATAGACAGTGCCTACTTGATCGACAACGACTCCGTAAGGATAGGACAATTGTGTAAGACCATTTCCTCCTCCTTGACCACCAGCCACGACAATGCCTTGTGTTGCACCTTCTATCCATTTAATCACACGAGGTATCAAATAGTCAGATACATAGACTGATTGATCTCGATCGATGAATACGTATGTTGGGCCATCAAGTTGATCGAGACGATTTCCTCGTCCATTGCCACCTACAACCACTGTTCCTTGAAATTCTCCTCTTCTATATTGTCTCACTTCATGTTTTTCATTGTCAACAACATAGAGAGATCCATTCTGGTCCATTGTCAAACCCCAACAAGCAATGTTGAAGATGATTGTTTCTCCACTTGTTCCATTTCGACGAGGCCATCGAACCACTCTTCTATTCCCACGATCGCATACGATGAGACTATTAAGTCTCTTTGTCGACAATCACATCCCATGGTTGAAGCAATTGATGAGTCCCATTTCCTCGTCCATTTCCACCGGCAACCACTTGGCCACCTGTCGCACCTCTTTTCCATTCCATAATACGATGATTGTGTTCATCTGCGACATAAATTGTTTGTTCATCATCAACAAACAAACCCATTGGGTAGTTGAGTTGATTGGTTTCATTGCCTAATCTATTTCCTCCAGCTACTGTAATACCATTTTGTTGCCATCGAGCATTTGGATGAATATCAATGGCACTTGCACGTAATGGGACAAAGACTGCAGAAAAAAAAACATTCTTAGTTATATTCTATCTTCATAATGCACAAAGTATTGCTTGAGATTTCTACTTGGAGAACCGAAGAATAGTAGCAGTTTCTTTCTGTTCTGAGTGCAGCTTCGATTTTTTAAAACATGTACTCATACTAATGGTTTGACACTGACGACATATTCAAGAGCTTCAAAATAGTACAAAACTCTATTTGTAAATCAGATTTATTTAAAATGAATTAAGAGCAACTTAGTTTGTTTTCGCAATGCCTTCTGCCCTCTGATATTACTGTAAAGGTTGTAACCTTATCATTTGGATTTTTTGATTCAACTGTTATTGTGAAAAATTAGTTAATCTTCTTATTAATTATTAGACTATCTTGTTTCAACGAATAATAAGTTTCGAAATATAGTAATAAAAATTTGATTTAAATGATGATCAGATGTTCAGAAAATATTTAAAAGAAATGAATACATGCAATGATAAATGATGTGCAGGATAAAAGTTATTTCGACACATTTTTTGAAGTTATTTCGGAAAAATAATAATTTTTTTTATTTTTAAATTAAAATGGCCATATAAAAATCATATGATAACAAACAAAACACTTATTTTATCTTTCAAACAAAGTGACAATTTACTAGTAAGGCACTCGATATTGGATCAAAAATCTGCTTTCTTGGTGCAATAATAAGTACACTTTCCTCTTTTCCTTTCACAGACAATTGGATTTCATTGTAAAAATTAGTTGTAAAAACGATATAAGGACGAGTACAAGTTCGACAGAGAAAATGATATACTTTGTTAATTCAAGAATAGTGTAAACTCATCAATGAGAGCAAGAGTATATATATATATATATCCAACAAAGAATGAGAAGATTTTTGAAAAACAAAAGATCAAAGGAGAAAGGAGAAATTGTGACGACATTGTACTGTAGCAGAAAAAAAAGGATATTTGAAAAGAAGTTATACATGTATGAGAGAAGAAAAGAAAAGAAAAGTATAAGATGACAAATTCGAGTGTTTATGAACTTAAATATTTAATAGTTTAATTTGATCTAAACATTCTTTTTCTCTACTGAAAAATAGATGAGTCAAAAATAACTGAATCGTCTTTAAAAGGTCAATATTTTCAAACTTTTTTTTGTTTTTATAGCATAACAGTATCAAATGATTCACAATAAAAATATAAATAAAACAAAAAATTTTCTATCTACTCTCTAGTAGAAATGGATGACTATGCACCTCGACAGTTATCGAATCTATGAATGTCAACAATAAAATTCGTTAAGCTTTTGATCTATTTATTTGTCATTTCTTTAAATGATTTTAAAATTTCTAAGAATAAATCCCGAATTTGTTATAATCAGAATTAATGACTTCTACACTTACAATGGAACCGTCTCAATTATTAATCGAGTTGAAGGGTCTTGTCCGAGTCAAATTAACACTCTCACGGCTAAACTAACAAATTTAAAATATTACGTCCCCATAGCGAGCCTGGACTGAGATAATCGATTTTTAAGATATTCAGTTTTGGTATGTGAATATAATATCATGGAAACTAAGCACATTCAATATTTTGCATTATGAAGATAGAATATAACTAAGAATGTTTTTTTTTCTGCAGTCTTTGTCCCATTACGTGC